TCGTTGAGTTTGGTTAGGTCTACTCAGACTCTAACAGCTCTATTGCAGCATTGCATTAGGATAGCTACAATATGAGCACACCAGTGTGTAGGTTGGTCTACGTTTGAAATGTGCCTTGATCACCAAATGGAACATGAACATACCTTCATCATAGCCATTCAGAACTGGATGTAATTGGAAGAACTCTCCAACCTAAATGACTTGCCTACCCCAAAAGGATAATTACAATGAAAGTTGCTCAGACAATGGTGTATCACATTGACCAATTCGAGCATTCGCTGACTTGACAAGCTGGCTTAGTCCCAAATCAATACATTGGACTTCCTATATATATAACCACAAAATCTTGCTTGTAAAACTTTCATGTATACAAATACATGACAGGATTTGAGTACACTAAACAATGGGACAACTTATATTCAGGGCTTACAAGCATTAAAAATAATGTTCAGAGAAAGCAGTTGTGAAAACACCCATTAGCATTATTGAAGTACATCTTTATCTATTGATGTGTTTGGACATTGATGCATTAAAATGAATGAAGAGTTATACTAATTGACAAATATTATTTAGTGTTAAGATGGCATCTGATTCTAAGAAAATTTATAATAATTTTGTTTATGTTATTCTTTTAATCTGACAATGGCTAAAGAATTAACTCCAAATCCAGGAGGGGTGTATAACCAGGATAAGGATATCCTTAGGTATGGGAAAGTAACCAGACAAGAGGTATTTAACAGGAAGGTAAATGGTTTATATATATATATATGCCTTTAACTTATAGCCATTAATAACAGCAACTGACAAAACTAAAAGCAAATAGGGAAGCACCCTCCCCTCAGGCCTGCTCCAATGTTCCTTTTTTAATTACCTAGTCAATTTACACCTGTGGTTTATGTCATCAAATCTTCCATCCATCATTTGCATTATGTAGTCACATTAAAAATGTTACATTTTCTTTCTTCACAGTGGGAAGAAATAGGCAATGGAGTGTGGGTCAATCCTATTAGATTGCGTGTGGCACAAAAATATACCAAATCAAAAACAGCCTTTGCCAGGGTGGTCCTGATGTTTTTCTACAAGAAAGAGGAGCTAAAGGGCAAAAGGCTCCATGAACTGGACCAAGACATTCTGCACACAATTGCTGGTTGGTATTTAAGATATACATATATATTGATTCTACTAAAAATGGTATTTATAATGAGCCATTACAAAAACTTTAGATAGTTATTGCAATTATTAAAGCAAGCCTTTATCAGTAAATATCCATTTGAATAATGGAGCCACAATTGCATAATTATCAGGATGTTCTCCAATTAAATACCAGCAAATCAGTAACATTACATCAATATACTAGCTGGCAGTACCAGTTAAGAAGGGTCAGGTCTGGTGATTTCAACTGGGAACTTGGTCAAGTTGGTGATGTTTAGGATAATTTTATCACTGCACTGATAAAAGAACTGTATTTACTTAGTGAGCTCAATTCCTAGTTTTTCTTGGACCTTTACGTCGTCATGATTGCACTTCTTTCGACATATGACATATGTGATTTCATTTAGAACTTGTTGTAATCACAGAATTGCCACAAGTGACACTGAGGGAGTCCGGGTGCACAGGTAATCAGCCCAAAGAGAAGGAACCTAAAAACAAGGCTGCAATATTGCAGTCCCTCAGGACCAAGCTGAATAATTTGATTTGGGAAGATGGTAAGTCAAGTGTTGCAATATTACATCTCTCTCAGTCTATAATTATATGTAGTCTGCAATTCTTACGAAGGACAATGAAGCCAATCTGCATAACAACTACAGTACCCTGGTTTTTGAGGGATTTAATTTTAATGAATGAATGCATGTACACTACCTATGCTCCTCCATTGGTTTGGAGTAAGAGTACATACGTATATGCTGTACTGGTTCAATTTTCAATCTAATCCACCTGCAAGTGTCATTTTGTATTCATAACAGGGTAGTCACGTACCGGTGGAAGCTTAATGTACTTGGGAAGAAAGTGACTAGTTAAATGAAACCAATTTTTTCTTACTGAATTATGAGGAAAAACTGATAAAATTAATTAACATGTCACAAAGTGATTTATGTGTATTTGTTTCCTTGCTACAGAGCAAAGGCAAAGAAGAAAAGAGAGAAGGGCTGCCATGCAGACTGATCAAGTGGTGCAAAATCTAGCAGCTGAGTGACACCACTTTTGAATAACATTCCAAATAATAAATGACATTTATTTGCAGTGTCAAAATCACTCTTTGCCTTCTAATTAAAATCATTGTAGACCTGTCTTATTTGAAAATAAATTAAAATCATTTTAAAAGCAGAACTAGCTATTTTGCAGTTTAAATTTGGGACACTTCTGGGATAGGGCTAAGTGTGATGTGAATGTCTCACAGCCTAGAGTCAAATGAGTCTCATTTGGGGAGACATTTCAAAAGGAGTTTGTGCAGCTACCGTCTGAAGATTGTAACAAGTCAGCCAGTGAAAGTTCAAACATC